ACAGCTCCTCAGATGCAGGCATTAATTATGACGCAGTAACAAGCACAATCTGTCTCCCATGATCCAATTAAAAACTTTTTTCTTTAAGTCATATTCGGAGAGTACACAATTCTCTAAACACCCAAACAAAGCATGCATCGTACATACAAACTGTAGTGAAACAAACCATTCTGCGTCTGCTTTTGGTGGTCTGAAGGCACACGCACACACACAAATGGTAAAATGGTTTGTTCAGGATATTGTTTTCCTCCTAAAACACAGAGCCGCTTGTAAATCTATTCACGGCGTTCTGAAATCTTTTTTTTCTCTTCTGAGAGCACAGCTCCAAATCATCAGCTGCCTCTCTCTGTGAATTCAATATCTTTGGGTTTTGCAATGTTTGTTGGACCAAACTTTAATATTTGATGAGTGATGAATCAGTGTAAATAAGTTTAGTTTATAATTCCCCTTCTGAGAGAGAGACACTGCCATAATGATAATAATTCTTAGGAATTTCAATGATGTCATTGACAGTCATAAAAGATCAACTGAGATATCTACTTAAACACTTTTTCCGAGTATCTGCTTCACCGCATTGCCATTTTTGAACACACCCTCTCTTTGTTGTGGCTTGACACTAACCTAGTTGTTAAGCGCGGGCTTTCTTTGTTCTTCTTACTTTTGTAAGCTCCTTGCACAGCCCTCTCTGTTTCACCATGTCCATTTGCCCGTTGGCACTCTGTCTTATCTCCTGACTCAATCATTTGGCCAAGAGCTGCTAAAAACACCAACTGCTCTGCAGTCTAAATAAAATAAAGAAGGGCCGCACCTTTCAGAGGTGTTGTGTGACGAAGGACACCCGACAAAGCTTGCTTTATTTCCCTAAAGTTAATCTTAATCTTGGGCCCAAGGCAAAAAAAAAAGACAGCACATAAAGGCTTCACCTTCATTGAATTTCAGCTTTTGGCTTTCAGATTGTACAGGAACTAATTTTGACCCTGACCTAAATGTTATAATAAATTGTTATCTGCCAGCCATCTGAAAAATTAGCTGTTGATGACATATGAAGTATTTATGGGGGCTGAGACAAGGAGTTATTAAGATTAAATAAACAGCTCATCCCAAGATACATTTTCTTTAAATGTCAGTGTTTGGCCACTCTCCGTCAGCGTCCATTACTCATGAGTTCTTTAAAATGTTCAGTTTTAGCTTTTTCTACTAATAAATGTACAATAAATGTTGAAAATGATTACCTTTTCATTTTCAACTGCATAATGAATCCTAGGTTTTCAGTGGGTCATATTTTATCTCAGCCATCTCGTTTAATCAGTAGATATGTGAAAGGGAATTAAGGTCCCATTAAGATATCTCCAGCATGTTTTATTGTTTCAGCATGTGCAGCTGTAAACCTCAGTTTACAGCCTGCTAATCCAAACAGTAGTGAATCTTATCAGCTAAGTGTTGATAAAGCACACTTGGCAGACTTTGCTTGGTGTCAGTGCATCTCTGCTTCTGGCAGCTGGATGCTGCTTCTCTTCATCACTGGTGGAGCCAAGGAAATGACATCATGTCCCTGCAGGGGGTCTAAAGTGAAGCCGTGACAGGACTGTCATGACAAAAGAGCCCCTGGGAACGTCGTTGCGCATCGAGGACAGCAAATAAAGGTTTCTTGAGGCTGCGGTCTTTACATTTTCTTTTTTCCTGTAGTTCCTGTAGTTTCCATCTCCATCTTATAGCTCATCAACCATTTTCTGGTGTTTGAAATTCCCCTCTCACATGTGTGTCTTTTTTGGTCCTGAATGTAGGGCATGGGGTGGGGCCCAAAGTTCTTCAAATTAGTAGTTATTCAAAGAGTGGCGACGAATCATTGTGTTGGCAAGATCCAGATCCAGAGAGCCACATCTTCATTTCTCTTGTCGGTTTTCAGCTTACACTTGGACTTGCGCATTAGTTTTGTTCCAGTCTTATTTGATATGTATATATGCACTCTTTAACGCTCTCTTCTGGGCGCTGACAATTGAAAATAAATTAACATTCCTGGGCTTTATTTTTGTCTTCTCTAAGCCTGTAGAGAAAACTTGGAGGTGAACCCAGAAGGTCAGGCCATACTCACAGCCTGTCAATCCTCCTCCGTGACCCGGCCGCCTCTTTCTTTCTCCCCCTTCCTTTCTTCTCATCTGCACCCCCTCTCACTTCCATTTGGGCCCTCCCTGCTTAAAAAACTCCCAAACTCACCCCCTTTTCACTCGCTCTTTCACTGGACGCCTCTCCAGCTTGAGTGAGGCAGACGTAAGCTTTGTCAAAGGAGCCTCACATTCATTCAGCCGGCTGTTGCACGGAGCCGTGCATTTCATGTTAAGACATGTGGGCTGTCTCCCTCTGCCCATTTATTTTAATTATGTTTTAATTGCTCTCTGTCCCTTTTTAAATGCTTGCTTATTATTTCTATCATGCCGATGTGAAAAATTTGCTGTGGACTGTCATTTTATCCATTATCTTAACTGATGATAGATCTTTCTCCTTGGGCTTTTACAGTGCCTGTATGTGAGACAAAAGAAAAACAGATGTCATGAATGTTGGCGAATCATTTTTCATTTTATTGGTGGGGCTTTTGTCCTATTTTCAGAGAGATATACAGTTAGTGGAGGGAAAACCCCCGAGAACATAATGTAGTTTTGTATTTTTTAGGAAGAGGTGGTCAATGCTTGGAGGAAAAAGAAGACTTTTATCAGATGTACTGTGGTGTACATTACACATTTGAGTGCATTAGATGTAGCCGTACTTTACAATCAGTCATAACATTTTTTAAAAACGTATCTGCGTAAGTTGATCATCATGAAAATCAGCGGCTTTAGTGTAGATAATTCCTCTGCATAACATCTAAGGGGTTGGCAAAGCCTCACTTACCTCTTGAAATAATTTTCTACTTTAGATCTTTGTAGCCCCCCCCCCCATCTCCTGATGTGAATTATGAAGTGTCTGTCAGTACTTGTGTAAAGCATCTAGTTGTTAATCGCCTAATCCGTTTATCTGGAGTCCGGACCTATTCAGTGCAGAAATCCCACCCAACAAAAAAAGTGTTTTTTGGGAAGACGAATATGGCTATGTCCTTCGCCAGCTTAAGGGAGAAAGGAGACATGTTTCTCAGCGGGGCGATGGCTGATCGGGAGTAGAATCCTGGGGTGGCGAGGGCAAGTAGGGCCAGGCATTCTCTCGCCCCCTGGTGTATGGAGGGGCAGAGAGGCACAGCGGGTCCCGCAGGCCAGAAGGGCAGGAGCACATCCCCCCCCCCAACCGTCTCCAATCTCCCACTGTCAACCACCATTATGGTTACCCCGTGGCCCCGGGCCTCATAGTTGGGGGATGATAAATTGCTGCGGAAGAAGTCCCATGTGTCTCAGGAGACTCTTTGCTCTCCAAGACTGAATTGGTGGCAGTCTTGTTGGTGTGGGCTGCCTCAGTAGTGGTACCAGTCAGGATATCAACCCCCCCCACCCCCCACCTCTTCCTTATCTGATCTGCCTCGCCGCCAGTGCCAGATAAACAACTGCAAGACAATTAAAAGTACAATTCTTATGAAGTCACCCGAGTCTAGCTGATAGAATGTAAGTTAGCAGAATGTTTGTGTCCTTGGCACAGACTCCGTTGTGACCTCAAATGAAAAATAAACATCCTCCGGCTTCAACGGACAGGGATTACGCTGGGTTTCTATTCCACCTCTACTAGGCGCTGGTCACATAAAAAATGAATTTGTTGTGGCTTTAAGAATAGCTCGGTATGCTGATGTGAATACTCGCTTTGCTTTTGTTGGGTTTTTTTATGTCACAAAAAATATCTAGGTTTATTAGGGAGGCCCAGAGTGATCTGACTGCCCTGCTGCTTAAATTTAGCTTCATTATAAAATAATCGGAGTAGTTGACGGGTGGCTCCGGAGGAGCAGCATTCAGCAACAGGAAACATTCACTCTCCTTTGCATAGTAATGACAACCAAGTCACCAACCCTGTGTGTGTATGTGTGGATAGAAATGTGTATCTCTGTGTGTGTGTGTGTGTGTGTGAGTGAGTGCACTGGAGAGATGCTGGATGGATTCCACTAGGGACTGAACAAGATACACTATGTTTCTGTGTCTTTCTGCTTCATGGATATATAGTTGTCTCTGAAAGTGGAGCCACATTAGAAGATGCGTGCATGTTCCTGAATATATGTTTGTGCAGCCATGCATATATGAGAGTGTGTGTGTCTGTGTGTGGCATTTCCCATACAAGAGACACCGCATCTCTCCATAGCGTTTGATTTTGGTAAGCTGCTTATCTGTCTGGTGTGTTGTCTTTCTCAGGCGCTAACCTTTTGCTGCTTTTGCAGACAAAGAACTGTTTTTGCCGCCCCTTGATAAGGAAGAAGACAAAAGTAGCTCTCAAAGCAGACGTGTCTCTAATGGCGTCCTATGTGAACGTGTTGCTGGAGCGACAAGCTTTCTCCCTCAGGGAACGGGGAGTAAATGGGGAAGGTGGAGCACTGTGGAGTGGGAGAATGAGGCAGTGTAAACATTCAGTTGTAACACGCTGCAGAGTGCTAAAAAAGTGTTAAGCAGCAGGCACGTTATGGGCTTTTTTTTTGCCCGTTTCCAAGTAAGCATGCAAGAAAAGTTTTAATATTTGTGAGAAAACGCTTGTTAGTTCAATCAAATCACAGTTAGGATTTCTTTCTGTTTTCATGGCGTTCAGAAACCTGTTGGACAAAATGTCAGAGTAACTTAACCATGAACTGTTTGACAGAACATATGTTGAATTCAGACTCAAAAATGAACCCAACTAAGCCAGAATGAAGGTGATATAAATGATAACATCTATTCCCTCATTTTAATACGTCTATTGTTATTGTTTTTCAGGTGAAATGATGAGTGGTGATCCTTCACCTAGAACTACTGATCGGTGAAATCGTTCCAGCCCTCTGTCCTTCCTCTGCTACGCATTGACCCTCTGCCGTCATTTCTGTGGGATTGCTTGATTCAAGAAACACAATGGCCTCCACATGGTGCAGGTGTCCAGTGTTTCACTGCCTCCTGCTTCTTCTCTTCTGCTGTCATTTTTCACAAGGTAAGTTACCATGGAGTTGCATCGCATCAAATAGGTTTGAAGCGTTGAACCTTTACAGAAGCTGCCTATGACTCACCTTATGAATGTTTTAAATTTAGTTCCATACAATGTTGTGGCCAGCTTTGAAAAGTGAAGAGCTACCGTGTGGCAAGGACGACAAATCTTTGAAGTTTCAAAGAGGGTTTTAAGACACTTGGCTCAAGACTCTCTTAATAGTTCTGTAAACCTGTGGACTCAGAATGATGTGTCTTTTCTTCCATGGCAGCTCTCAGCCCTCAAAGTTTCATAACTTCTTATTTTATTTAAGTGTACTTTGGGCCAATGGCTTCAAAGAATGTACATTTTTTTCTGATAGGCACCTTAAGATAATGTATTTGCTCAGAGCTTTAGTTTTTGGGTTTCCTCTCCCTTCTCTCGCTTATGATTAATACATTTGACTATAATTACCAGTATTGTGACAAAACATCAGTCAGTCATACAGCCATCAAAACCACTGATGTTGGTATGTCTGTATTAATGACGATCATTTCCTTTTTTCCCTTTCAGCCCCATTGTACGGGGAAACAAAGTAACCCAAAATCACATGCTTGCGTGCCAAGCATTGATTACAGATAAATGCTGAACCTCATTATGTTGTGGCCTTCCATTTGAAAATTATTTTTTCCCTTTATTCTTCCTCTTTCCCATCTTATTTCAGATCTGGCTGTGTTGTACAATTTGTTAACAAAGATAGTTTAATCTGAGCAGCCAGAGTATTTCAAGCAGTGATGCTTTTATTTTTTATTTTTTATGAACAATTCTAAGAAAAATGGAGGAGAACTTGGCAGAGGCACTTGAAGAATAGACCTCTGATTTGGTCTGGCTTGGAAACAGAGTTGAATAGTCCTGTTGGATTTCTTAGAGAGAAATACTGCTCTGGTATGCAGAAAGGGCAGTTCTTGGGTTTCAGTTGATGTGAGCGCTCTCAGGCTCAAGAATGCATATTTGCCGATCCGTCAATAAAAGAATGTGTGTGTGTTTGTGT